GAGCGGCAGGGGGTTTCCGGGCGTTTGGGGCAGAGAAGAGCTGCGAAGGTGGGGGGTGTCGGTGGGGAGGGGGAGGTGGCAGCGGGGCAGGGGGTGTGGTGGTGGGGTTGCCTGGGACCAGAAGGCCCTGCTCAGTTGGGTGAGTCCACATTTGGGCTGATGGGGCGGGTGCGCTGTGGGGGACAATGCTGTGGGGTGACAGCAGAAGCTGAGGGTGATGGAAGTGGAGTTGGGTTTGAGGAAGGCAAGGGCTGGTGCTGGGATGGAGGGGCCAGCGCTGGCTGGGGGCAGTGTGAAGACCGGCTGCTTGGGGTCGGATGGGATCCGAAGGCTGTTTTGGGAGCGCGAGGCATCCTGGCACCCCATGGGGACCCCGCGGTCCCTGGCAAGCGCAGCCGGTACAGCCTCTAATCCTCACTGTGGATCTTGGCACAGAACCCCCCAAATATTGCTAGGATCTTGCCGAGTGGCTGGCAGTCATGGCTACGTGATGCCGGGGAGTCGGCAGCCTCCCTGTGTGCCGTGCCGTGCCACTGGCATCTGTGGATCCCCCCGACCCGTACCCGTGTCTCCCAGCCTGGCGAGGAGCTGTCGTCTCCCAGCGTGCCCACCACGCCTGCTTGAGGTCTGCGGGGGCCGGCACCGCGCACGCACCATATTTTACCAGCACGATTTCCTCCTTTGGCATCGGTGAAGGGAGCGGGGGCGGAGATGGGGGGAGCCCGGGGGAGACACAAATGTGCGACTGCAGCATCCTCACTCTCACGGCTGCATCCCTCGCGCCTCCTCACGGTTGCCTTAGCAACCTCCTATCGATGGGGTATTTATAGACGTGGTGAACGCGAGTTGGGAAACCAGAGGGGGGGACCAGGACCGGGTGGGCGTCTGCTAGGTCAGTCTCCAGCTTCAGGCTTCTCTTGGCTTGCATGGCTGTGCGGAGGCAGGAGGGATGCTGCTCCCCTTGGCGTCAGCACCTGCGGTGGTCCAGCTTTTCCTGCTAATCGGAGCTGGGGGAGGTGGCTAGGAATTTATGCGTGGAAATAAAAATAAGCATCTGGGGTGTCTGCCTTTCTCGCAGGCATTGCTTGTGCTGTAGCCTTGCGCAGACCTGGCTTATTGTTGCACTGGAATAAACCATCTCTGAGCTCTGACACTGGGTGCATTGGCACAGATACTTGGAAAAAAGTTAAAGATAAAATCTTCTGATGCATTAAATGTGTTGCCCGATGTATGACGTGGGCTATGGAGCTGGGGGCCCTGACAAACCTGGTCTTGTATACCCTTATTCCTGCGTCTCTGTTCTTCTGTCTATCAAGGGGGAGAATGGCTGTAACAATGAGTGATACAGAGGTTTTGTGTGGAAGCTGTGGCAAGTTTTCCACGTGGTACATTCTTTTATCCTTTGGGCTTGAGTCTTTTTGTGAAAACTGATGACAATAAAAGCAGGTCAGGTGGTCCCTACTTGGAGCTGACACAGCCTTGGGGGGAATGCATGGATCTGGGCACCTCCCAGCTGCTCTCGCTCTCGCATCCCCCAGGATGGCTCAGAGAGGTGGGGTTGGGTGCTCAATTTCTTGAGAAAAGGCTTCCTGGTGCGGCCTGTGGGGCGCAGGAGGTGGCAGACCCTGTGTAATTCCAGTGCTCTGCTGCTTCCCTCGCTCCTGCTTAAAATGCAGCCTGAGGTTTGCAATCTGAGTTTTGCAAACTGTTGGAAAGAAGCTGCTTTCTCTCTTCTGGAGACAGCTCCAGGCTTGCTTGGCCTGTTGTGACTTTTGGTGCAAGAACCTCAGAAATCACAGTAGACCTGATACTGGCAGGGAGAGGTGCTAGATTTGCTGAGAAGGTGGCTGTTGGTGAGGTGTGGTAGTGCCTGCTGTGGTGGTGTGCATCAGCCCTCCTGTGTGTCCGGATGCCTGCCTTTTACGTGAAATGAGAAATGCGTTTCTAACCCAGCTGACCTTATGAGCAGCCCTGTGCTGTCCCTCACCTTGCTCCAGCTGAGGACATTCAACTGCTTTTGGGATAGCTCTGAATATCTGAAGTCCTGGACCTAAGATCAGGACATCATTTATTTCCTGCCGTTTCTAACTGTGTTTGCTCCTTCATCCGCAATAAATCTCTGCAGAAGCTGGTTAGTCCTGTCCCCTCTGTCTCCTGACAGAGTTGTGGCTTTGCCACAGCAAGGTGTCACACAGGGCGAGAGGAGATGAGTTTGCCCATGCTCTGCTGCTTCCCTCGCTCCTGCTTAAAATGCAGCCTGAGGTTTGCAATCTGAGTTTTGCAAACTGTTGGAAAGAAGCTGCTTTCTCTCTTCTGGAGACAGCTCCAGGCTTGCTTGGCCTGTTGTGACTTTTGGTGCAAGAACCTCAGAAATCACAGTAGACCTGATACTGGCAGGGAGAGGTGCTAGATTTGCTGAGAAGGTGGCTGTTGGTGAGGTGTGGTAGTGCCTGCTGTGGTGGTGTGCATCAGCCCTCCTGTGTGTCCGGATGCCTGCCTTTTACGTGAAATGAGAAATGCGTTTCTAACCCAGCTGACCTTATGAGCAGCCCTGTGCTGTCCCTCACCTTGCTCCAGCTGAGGACATTCAACTGCTTTTGGGATAGCTCTGAATATCTGAAGTCCTGGACCTAAGATCAGGACATCATTTATTTCCTGCCGTTTCTAACTGTGTTTGCTCCTTCATCCGCAATAAATCTCTGCAGAAGCTGGTTAGTCCTGTCCCCTCTGTCTCCTGACAGAGTTGTGGCTTTGCCACAGCAAGGTGTCACACAGGGCGAGAGGAGATGAGTTTGCCCAGGATAGTCTGATCGGTGAGGCATCGGGAGAAGACAAAGCATGAAAAACAAGTGAGTGAAACTCCTCCTGCGAGCAGAGAGGGATATACTCTGCTTCTGCGGGACTTTTGTTTCACTCTTGTGGGGTTTTGTTTAGTTTTGCTTTTGAAGCACAAAAGGTGCTTTTCCAGCTGGAGAGCTGTTGTCCTGGGTGTGCAGGGAGCTCTGTCACTCTTGCTGCTGCCCTTAGTTTGGCCTAACAACCTCTAGGGGCTCCTTTTCTTTCCTGCTGTGTAGTCAGCTTTATGGCAGTGGAGGAAACAGTATGGCCCTGTTTACTGCAGATTGTGGGTAGGAGTTACAGAAATGAGAACTGGCACAGCTGCGAAGCTGATTTAAAATGGGATGACTGCTTTACCTGTATCCATCAATCTCTTGCGGAAGGAAGAGCACCAGGCTGCTCCCAGCAGCTTCTGCCATGCAGGCCATCTCGTCTGCTGATGAGATATGGGGTCTCTCCACTCAGTTCTTTCCCTTCCTACTTTGCCTGCAGCCCTCTGGGCTTCTTGGGCAAGGCCCTGGCCCTCGCTGGGCTGGTGCAGCACAAGTACAGCAGAGACCTGCCCCAAGCTCTGAGAGTCCTGGGAGTGCTCTGAGCCCCTCCAGTCCCTCCAGCCATGCGGTGAGCAGGGAGACAGCATGAGTTCTTGGCTCTCGGAGGAGGCACTGCTTGGCTGGGAACTGTTGTGGGTCCACCAGACAGCACCTTGCTTTCTGCATGAATCTGACCCTGGGCAATCGAGGACTTGGGCTTCAGGGGGTGAAATTTAAGCTGTCAGTGACTCTCCTGTTTTCTTCCCTGCAGGTAGGCAGGAGCCCCCCGTAGCTGAGTGAGGCAGCATGGCAAGTAAGTGTTCCCCAGTCAAGACGGAGAGGTGGTGGTGGTGCTGGAGGAGAGAGGGGGGATGTTTCACAGCCACCTTTCAAAAAAGGGGTGCCTGTGCTTTGTGGGGGGTGTAATTCTCTGTGGGGAGTAGATGCCATCGGCTGTTGTCCCTGGATGAGGTCTGAGGCCTGGCATGACTTGTGCGTCTCTCTCCCCTGTGAAAGGGGGAGTGGAGAGGAGGTGCTGAAGGGCTGACCTTTCTGGGACTCCCTGTATGCTGCAGCATTTCTTTATTTGCGTGATGCTTGCTGTGCAAGGCAGGCCTCCCTGAGGCTCTTTGGACTGACTGGCCTCTCTGCAGGGGTTGCCGGTCTGCGCTGACATCTCCTAGCAACAGTGCTCCCCATGGCCCATGACTGGCATCCCACGGGCTGCCCATCCCATCCTGGGGGTCACACTGCCCTGTAGCCTGTGTGGCTGGTGGCACTGGGCATCTGCATTCCCAGCGGATGGGCAGCTGCCTAACTCAGCCCTGCCAGGAGCTCGCTGCATCTTGGTGCCTGAAGGAGTGCCTAGCAGATGGGGCTGCTCGGGGCCAGCAGCTAAAGCTGGGCTGAGACTGGCGAGGGTGCAGGGTGGAGGATGGCGTGTGGTCTGTAAAGACCTGGACTCAACCCTCCCTCCTCGCTCTTCTGGGCAGCCCGCATGGAGGCTGCATGCAGCGATGTGATGGGAGCTCAAGGAGGACGGCAGTTGTGAACAGGGAGATGTAGAGATCTGTCTGGGATCTTGGGATTTGCTTGGGGTGTCGCCAGAGACAGCTGTGAAGGTGGAGGCAGTACCCATGCTGGGCAGGAGGAAGGACCCAGGGATGACAGGTATGCCTTCTTTCATTATCTGTGCTGTGCTAGGTCGGGGAGGGAGCAGAGATCTTCAGGCAGTGTTTTTAAAAGGCAATTTTAATCTTCTATTAATGAGGAGGGTACCCAGCTGGGTCCCTGCCCTCCTCCACTGTTGCCTTTTCTCCCTGTCAGAGCTCAGGTGCTGGCTCACCAGCACTTACTGGTTGTGGGAGGTGTCCCCTATGGTGGCAGTGTCCCCCACCAAGCAGTCCCCTTCACAGTGACCCTGATGTGCAGGAGGGGGATGTGGTGGTCAGCATGTTCACCACCATGCACTCCCCGCAGCCCTGGCTGTCCCTCTGCAGACACAGCCGCCCATCATTCTGCAGAGCAGCAGCCCCAGGGGTGTCCCCACAGCTGGACAGCAGAGCTGGGGGGCAGCGGTGTGGCCAAGCCTGCCTGCCACCAGGGGCCAGCAGCACCTCAGGAAACCCAGCAGGGATGCAGCAAACCCAGCCCTTGCTCCTGCTCCCCCTGCCTAAAGCTCTGATCTTTCCTAAGCACCGGTTCTCCAGCTGGTGTGGGGAGACTTGGAGAGGCACAGGGGGTCAGTACCGAGGCTGCTGCGCCTTGGGAAGTCCCCTCTGCCCTGTGGTTTGGGGACACTACTGGCTCAGCAATCTGCTCTCCGTGGCAGTTGGGATTCTGGGCTGCAGATGAGAGTTGGCAAGGCTCTTGTTTCCTGAAGGCCATCGGTTTTCCTGCTCTAGTCCCAGGCACATGGGAGCTCTTTGCACTTTCTGTGTAAAAGAGGGGAGGGATCACTTAGTTTCTGCTCTTCTGCCATTTCAAGGTCCCTGAGGGAAATTGGAGGTGGGGAGAGGCACACACCTCCATCGCAGCATGCTTTCAGTCAGGACATTGCTCACGATACCTGCCTGCCTGTGTGTCTGTTTTTATTTCCCACGATAGTGGCCAGTTCAGCATGGCAAAACAGGGTGTCTGGTACCTGCAGGAATGGAAGACTCTGACAGTGAGATCTGTGGCCAAGCTTGTTGCTCCAAGGTGTGCTGCCGAAGTTGGAAAGAGGCTCAGACTCAAGTGCTGAAGAGGGGAGAGTTGATACCGCAGCCTGATCAAGACAAGAGGTAAAGGAGGCGAGGCCAGACTGCTCCAGCAAAGGATGGGACCTTTGTGGAATGGATGGTGTCTTTGTAAAATTTCATCTAATTCTGGAAAAGGTTAAGAGAAGGTCAGCCTGCCAACCTGCTCCCTCTCCAGCCAGGATAGTCCCCCTCAACTGTGAAAGCCAAGGCAAGCGGATCTGTGCCCTCCTGCAAGATGCCTACTGTGCCTCTTGAAAATGCTTTTTCGGTTGTCCTTGTAAAAAAAAAAAAAAAAGTTTGTGTAATAAAGTTGATTCTGAGGGAAGGTCTCTGACTCACATGATTCGTGCTGCTCTTCATTCATAACCCAGTAGTTCAGCCCCCTGCAAACTCTCTCACTGAAGCAAGCCATTAATAAATCACAGGGGGGAAAATGCGCCTACCCAGCACAAAAAGAGCACAGCACCTCCAAGCATGGGGTGGTATAGCGTAGTAGTAGTTGCTTACACCACAATCTTGCCCCTGCCTTGATATTTACAAATACTCTCACAAATACCTTGCTGTATTGTTTTAGGAGCAGGATACATGGAAGGTAAAGCAGAAGGAAACCTGCTGGTCTCTCTGGTAAACAGCTCCTCATGAAAGAATTTCATAACTTTTCACTAACTGCTACGTTTGATCTTCACCGAGCTCCTTGCTGAAGGAGTATTTCTGTGTTACAGCCAAGCTGGTCTCATGGGAGACCCTGGCTGTCCCCTTGTGTCCTTGTCCTGCATCTGTTGATGTTGCTGCAGTGTGAGTTGGTTCATCTGGTTGATCCAATGGAAGACTGAACCTGAGGGTGAAGGAAGTAAATAGGTTTCTGCGGATCAGCCAGCTGCACCGATTCATCTTCCTCAAGGGAAGCAGCACGATTATGTGGCTTGGTGGGAAGAGATGGTGCCAGCCTGAGTGTGTTGAGCTGCATTACAGAAACACTCTTACGAAATGCTGCGTGGGATGTTTGGATCCTGGAAGGATCGTGGTTTGTGTGGTGTTTCTGCTTTCTGGGCAACAACTCATTTGCGTCTCCGGTGCTGCTGCAGGGCCTGGTAGGTACTTGCTCCCTGCACCCTGTGGAGGTCTCCCTTCTGCAGAATATGGGGGGAGAGGCTTTGAAAGGGCTGTGTCTCTTGCAGGCAGGAAGGTGCTGTTGCTGCTCAGTCTGGCTTCCTGACTGCATGCTCTGTGGGAAGGTCTGATATGGGCAACACAGAGTCTCTCAGGCTTTGGGAGCAAAGGAAGGTCTGTGAGACCTCTGCACCAAAATGTAGGGATGAGAATATGATGCCATGTGAGAAGAGGTTGCTCAGGCCCCTTTCATGACCCGCCCTGTGCTGTCCCCATGTGTTGGGGATGTTTGCCCTTGTTGGGCCTGGGCCTGGGAGAAGACACCGTGGTTTCTCTGTGACCTGAACAGAGTCCCTGAAGCCACCTGAGCTTGCATGACCCCACAGCAGCTGGCAGCGGGAAGCCAGCTTCCAGCAGGCTGGCTGCTCTCCTGGGGGGCTGTGGAGGTGTGAAGCAAGAGAGGCTCTGGGGTGATGCAGGGGGTACTGTGGAATGGGTTGTGAGTCTTGTCTCGGTGTTGGCTCTGTGTTTTGGGAGCGAGGTCTGGTTCTGCGTCCCAGCCCTGTGGGGTCTTGCTCACCCAGTGGGATCTCCCTTGCCCTGCAGCAAAGGGGCAGCAAGGTGACATCCCGTCAAGGATAGGAGGTTGAAAACAAGTCTTTTTGGAGCCTTCTGTCCCTTCTTCAGCTGCCCTGTGTGGTCTGCAGCTGCTGCTTCCAGTGTCTCTGGCACCTCAGCCCTGCTGGAAGGATGCTCCTGGTGCCGTATGTCCCCGGGCAGACCCCAAGAGCCCTGTGCCCCGCTGGCTGTGCTCTCCCTCAGCGGGCACTCTGCTGTGCTGATTTGGCACCCTGGGCTTTTGGTGTTTTCTTGCCTGTATCACCAAAATCCTGTGGGAAGCCAGATGGGAAAGCCTGGCTGGGCAAAGGCCAAGTGTGGGGTTGTCCCTGCTGAGCATGTCTCTGCCTTGTGTGTTGCAGTGTTCTTGGGGGCCAGGACTGCCCACTCGGTCCTGAAGCGCTTTCCCCGAGCCAACAGCTTCCTGGAGGAGATCCGTCAGGGCACCATTGAGCGGGAGTGCATTGAGGAGGTCTGCAGCTATGAGGAGGTCAAGGAAGTGTTCGAGAACAAGGAGAAGACGGTGTGTTTGTCCTGCCCTGCTCCCCACTGAGGGCTTATGCCTTAGCAAGCTGGGGGCAGAGAATGAAAGCACAGGGGGAACAGCCTCTCCTGTTTCCGCTGTCCTCTTCTGCCTGCAGGCAGCATGCTGTGGCCTTGCTTTCCAGCATGACTTTCCCTTCCCAGGCAATGCCCTCACCTTGGTATTGCCAGGACATGCTGCCCACAGCTGCAGGTCGAGCTGGCACTCCCATGGCATGTGTGAGAAATTTGTGCTGCTGTCCCCAACTCTGCAGGCTGGGGTTGGTGTTAGCCAAAATTTCCTGCTGCTTGGTGTGGGGGTTGTTCGCTGCTGTTGAGGGATGTTCGTGTGATCTCGTTTGCTTCTCTGTTCCTGCCGCAGATGGAGTTTTGGAAGGGCTACACCAACTCGGTCTACTCTGTCAAGGACCCCGCGCACAGCACGGAGCGCTCAGACGCTATGTACGTGGTGGTGCCCCTCTTGGGAGTGGCTCTTCTGATAGTCATCGCCCTCTTCATCATCTGGAGGTGCCAGCTTCAAAAGGCCACCCGCCACCGCCCTTCCTATGCCCAGAACCGTTACCTGGCCAGCCGAACGGGACGCAGCCTCCCCAGGGTCATGGTGTACCGGGAGCGGTCGCAGAGCCAAGGGGAAACTCAGTATCAGCGAGAAGCGAGCAACCGGGTGGCTGGAGATGGAAGAGCTGGAGGCACCCCCCAGCAAGACGGCACCCTTTACCCGCCGGAGCATTCGGTCTCCATCCTCTCCAGACTGTCCAGTGCCACCCCTCCACCTTCCTATGAGGAGGTGACGGGCCACCCAGAGAGCAGCAGTGGTGAAGAGACCAGCGTCTCCTACAACGAACCACCACCCAAGTATGAAGAGATTGTGGCCAGTGCCCCTGCTGCAGGCAAATAGCGGGTCTGCCTCCCTCCTGCCTTGTCACACACTCACGCTCATCCACCCACCCTCCTTTTGCCATGCCCGGGATGCCCGTCGGGTGCCAGTCAGCGCCCTGTCTCACCTGTACAAGCTGGTGCCATCACACAATAGCCTTACCCTCCTAACCAAAAATAGCTGTCCCCAAGCGGGGTGAGGCTGGGCTGCGGAGATGGCTCCGGAGCTGGCCCGCCATCTCCTGCCCCTCACTCCCCGCTCACGCAAGTGCTGTAGCAGCCAGAGCAGAGCGGCAGCTCGTTCCTGGCTCAACGTGGGGGTCTCCCCATGGTGCATCTGATTTCCTCACTTTCCCCTCAAATAGACATAACATTTCCCATGATTAAAACAGCCTCGCTGCCTCCCTGGGGCGTTGCTCAGCCTTACCCCATGTCCTCACCGGGCCCTGTTTTGCTGCTCAGGGCTCTGATTAGGAGTTGGGGATGCAGGAGGGGTGTGGCAAATTTCTGTCCATCCCCACAGTCAGTGTCCATGCTCAGTGTTTGGGGAGAAAGTGCCTCCCTTGTGTGGATTTGCTGCCAGGTGGGAGTGGGGAGCCCCGTCCATGCTGCGGTGCCTGTAGCGGTGTTTGCTGTCCGGAGATCAGGGAGGAGCGGTCTGGGAGGTGCTCTCTGATCTAGATCCCTTTGGAAAGGGGGATAGGCTCATGGTGGTCTTCTATGTGAGGTAAGTGACTTTGGAGTAGCAGGTCCTTTTCCTGATGCTCTCTGCTTTCCCCCTGCGGGGTGCCAGGCAGCTGGGGGTCTGGCTGCGACAGAGCTGGCCGGTGGGGTCATCTCTGACCTTGAGTCAAAAGTGGTCCCATGGCTTTAAGCGGTGGGGATGCTTCTCTTCCCTGGAGCGTGGCCTGTCTGCCCCAGAGGTGGGATGCTGCCACAGGGAGCCTGTGGATGGGCCAAACCTCCCCTCTCTCTACCCCAAACCTCTGCGTCCTGCCCGGTCTCTCTCTGGGGCTCTTTGCCCTCCAGAACAGGTAAAGGGGAATACAAGACCCCAGTGTCCTCCAGGCCCTTCTGGTGGGCAGAGTGCTTGGTGGCCATGGCATGAAGGCCCTGCTGACAGAGGTGGCTGCTGACTGATCACGCCACAACCCGGCGGTGCCAGTGGGTCAGGAGCAGGGCCAAAGCCCTCTTGCACCTGACCACCAGGTGGTTGTGGTGCCGGGGTAGGGCAGAGCCAGGTGCTTTGCTGTGGGACCAGTGTCCAAGCAATGGGGCTGTCCTTTCCCAGTCATGTCTGATGGGTTAAAAAGAGGGTTGTGCTCACCAACCCCCTCGGAGTAGCCCAGAAACTCCCAGCACTGCCACCTGTCGGTGTTTGCCCCAGCACCAGTCTCTCCACCAGCACCGAAAGGCTATTTATCGCCCACCCGCCGGCTGCCTGCTCCCCGCTCGGTCCCAGCGGTGCGCTCACTGCAGGTGCCCTCGGCCCGGAGCTGAGGCTTGCCCAGCCCGGCCACCCCTGGGGCAGGACATGTGGGGTTTGCAGATGCTGGCACCATGTCGGTCCCCTCCCAGGCCTTTACTCTGCCCTTCGGCCTTAGCAAGTCGGGGTTATGGGAAGACCTGACAGCGAGCGTCGGGGTCAGAGCCCAGAAAAGCCCGGAGGGAGGGAGAAGGGCACTCTGCCTCCTCTGTCTTTGATGCTCGGTCATTATCCCTGCAGTTTGTATTCTGTAAAACTAGTTATATTTCTGTGAAAAAAAAAAAAAAGTATTTATTAAAAAACCCTCACTGTCTTGAGTGGCACAGGGTGGCTTTTTCCCACGGGGGGGTCTCACTGAGCACAGCTGGATTTCCACCCCATGGGGGTGCCGGGGCTCAGCTCTGCGGAGCGAGGGAGGCAGCGGTGGAACGATGGCACCAATAACCCCCCCCGAGAGCTGGTGTGTGCTGCTGTGGGGCTGGGAACGAGCCCCACGCATCCAACGGGAGCCTTCGCCTTCCCAGGGCGCGGGTGCAACTCTCGGTGGGAGCGGGAGGGTGTCCTGTGGGCCCTGACCAGCAGGT